ACTTGATGCTAAGGTGGCATCTGGGCAGAGACCTGAGAGAATTGAGGGCATGGGTCCACATGAGGAATAAAAGCAGCCAGTGCACTGGCTTGGAGGCAGGAGCATGCTTGGTATGCTCTAAGAATAGCAATACTAAAAAAAGAAAGAAAGAATAGCGGGGGGGGGGTTGGGGCTGGAGAGATGGTTCCGTATCTCTTCCAGAAGATCTGGCTTTGGTCCCCCAAACCCACATAACAACCATCTGTATTCAACTCCTGCTCCTGGGGATCTGATGCCCTCTTCTGGCCTCCATGGGTATCTGCACACACATGGCAAACAGACACACATACATAAGATTAAACAACTGTTTAAAGAAAGCGAAGCAAGCTTGAGAGACAGCTCAGCAGTTAAGAGTGCTGGCTGCTTCTGCAGAGGACCTTTTCCCAACTGGATGTTAGGGTTTTAGGGATTCATATGTGAAGCCATGTTCCCTGAACACAAAGAGATCCTTTGTGTAATAGGGGAAAGGAATCTGGCACACAAACACAGAGATAGAGGGACAGAGGACCTTAGGGTACTGGAGTTTTTGTTTATGTGATCTAATGGCCAACCTCTTATCTATCTATCTGCCTGTCAGTTAAGAGACCAGACAGAAAACAAAAAGACCACCTAAAGCAGTGGCTCGTACAGAAGGAAAGACACTCCCCCACCTCCGAGCTAAGCAAATGGTTGTAGGTAGATGTCTGTCCATGACATGGCCCAAAGATTTTTCTAGCTTGAAGCTCCCTTCAGCTATTGTCAACTCTTACAGGATCAAACCCGGCTTCCCAGTACTTTGTCTTCTCCAAATTTGTAGGAAGAAGATGCAGAGATGGTGTGGGCCCTGACAGATTCCTTTTTAAGGATGTGAAGTATAAGTTAAACACATAACTTTTGCTTTTTCACATGATTTGATGCAAGGTTTAGGCATTTGGCCCTCACATAGCTGCAAGGGAGGCTGAAACTGTAACCTGTGGTCATGCTGTGCCCTGTCAATATTCTGTGGTGGCTCTTTACTAAAAGGAAGAAGGGGAGAACGGAGGCAGGGGACAATTTATAGTCCCAGCCATACAATAGTCCCACAAACAAAGTCTTTATGAGTCTTGGCTTTATAATTTCTGTAAAAAGCCAGATAGCAAATCTTTTGGCTTTAGATGCCATATATTGTCTGTATTACACATTATCCTTTGTTTTTATTTCATTTTTTACAACTCATTGATTATGTAATGCAGCATTCATACAAAATCAGACTGTGTATAGATACAGGATCCAACATGCCAACCCTTAAATTAAATGAACTAATTTTAAAAAATGTAGTCTTTTTCAGTTTAACACAAATTTTACCTTAATTCCATATTGGCTAGGACATGATTAATTATGGAGATTGAATTCAGGGTCTCATACATGCCAGACAAATGCCTAACCACCAAGCTGCACTTCCTAACTCCCAAAATTTTTTAAACTTTGTGTGTGTGTGTGTGTGTGTGTGTGTGTGTGTGTGTGTGTGTGCACGCGGAAAGGTGTATACCACAGTGTGCATACCACAGTGTGCAGAAGTCAGATGGCAACTTGCAGGAGTCAGTTTTATTCCTCTACCATGTGGGTCCTAAGGATCCAACTCAGGTCCCTAGGTTTGGCCTCAAGCTCTCTTACCACCACCACCACCACCACTACCACCACCACCACCACCACCACCACCACCCCTTGCCATGAGCCATTTTGCTGGCCTGACCTCAGAGGTTTAAACCTATACATAAAACAGCAGAGAACTGTAGTAGACATTTAGTTAAGTCTGAAAAGCAATTGAGTAGACTTGTGTTCCAACTAGAAGACTTAAGGATGCAAATAAAATGTGAGCTGAGTTTTACGAAAGAAATGAGAGGATTAGAGAGGTAGCTCAGTGGTTAAGAGCACTTGTCATTCTTGTAGAGGACCTGGGTTTGGTTTCTAGCACCCATATGTTGGCTTACAACCATTTATAACTCCAGTGCCAGAGGCTCCAACACCCTCTTTTGGCCTCCGTTGGCACAAGGCATGCATATGGTACACACATATACATGTAGGCAAAGCACTCATACATATAAAAGAAAAATAAATAAATATAGCTGGGCAGTGGTGGTGCATGCCTTTAATCCTAGCACTCAGGAGGTAGAGGGATGTGTGTCTCTGTGAGTCTGACACTAACCTGGCCTACAGAGCTAGTTCCAGGACAGCCAGTACTACACAAGGAAACAAAACAAACAAATAAATCTTGTATTTAAAAAAGAAAGAAATGAGAAATTCTGTGCTTATGCTTTCCTCAAGTCGGAGGACATGTTGATGCATAGAAATTGTGTTTAAGGCACAGACTTCCATCTGTAACAAAGAAAGGATACACTCACCCTTTTATCTTAAGTTAGCGTAAGTTGGTCTGCTGTCACTTACAGCCAAAATTATTTGGAAGCCACAAGTCCACTAGTGGACAAAGTAGTGTTCTTCCTGCCTGTGCACAGGCAACTGGGAAGAACCATGAGTCTCACACCCTGGATCAGGAGGCTGCATGCTTCTGTGGTGCGTTCCCTACCCAGAAGGCACTTGGTTCCATCTTTGGGAGTTTGACAGGCCCTAGTCCCTTTTGGTTGGCTTATGAACATGTGACCTTAGTTGGAATCAATCATACTCATGAAATGGGGCCAGTGGTACCCAAAAGCAGTGATGAACTCGTTCTTAGGGTAGTTGTGATGTCATACTACATCTGAATCATGGAGCCCTGGGTGCAATGTTTCACAATTCATGTTCTGTGGTAGAAACTTAGATGTGTTGCCAGGCCCCAAAATCTCCTTCATCCTAACTGATTGGTAGGTCTATGAACTTTCCTATAACCTCCATTGACTTTCCTATAGCCAGAAAATTCCTTTTCCAGCTTGCTTTAGCTAGGCCTATTTCCTGTTGCTGATAACTAAAACCCCTATTGACATGCACAGGCATCCTTCAAGCCCAGGAGACTGGTCTCCTCCTGAATCCCTTTCCTGGTCTCCCCCTAGAAGCCACATGCTTCCTCTCTCCAGCACTTCCAGCTCATCTATCTTCAGGGCCAACTAGCAGGTGGCTTTAATGCAGCTCCACCCTAAGAACAGGGACCGCTGACCGTGCTGAAATCACTGTTGAATGGGGAACATGTGCTTGTTTCCTAGGGCCACTTGTGTCTGGGAGGATGGAGAGATGGTGTTTCAGATCTTGCTCAGTGGGTGGGTCCTCCTAGAAAGCAAACAGGCTTACAACAGGGACTCTAGCAGGTGCCTAGGGATTGTGGAAGGAACGGGTGATCCCCCAGAATTCAGTGTAATCTGGCTCTAAGGAAGTGCTTGGATTGAGCCACAGAAGGAGAGGCCAGTGGCTGGCCAGCTGAGAGGAAGAGAAGGCAAGGGAAGGGAGAAAGAGGAGGGAGTCTCTGGCACCCACACCAACCCATGGCAGAAGGAGCCCTGGCTTCAGTGACAGAAGGTTTTCTATTTCCAGAGAGTTCTCAGCACAAGCCATAGAGTCTGATGATGCTTGTGGCCATTAACAACGTCATCAGGACACTGAAGCATTCCTGAACCCCCATAACTTTGGCTTATTAAGTGACTAAGTGGTATGAAATTAGAGCCATTACTAGTTAGCCATTTTAATCTTTAACCAGCCAGATACATTTTAGCTGACGTATGTGCAATCTTCCAAAGTCCCACTTCCTTTCTCTACACAAGCTGCGACTTTCCAGATGGTCCCAACAGAAGGAATTACAACCCTATTGCATAATTTAAAGTTATCATCTGTATTTCCAAGTAAGGTAGATAATGTACCAACCCATCCTCCCCCTCCACACACATACAGGGTCTCATATATAGCCCAGGCTGCCCTAAAACCCACACTCACTCTGTCTCAGATTCCCACATGCTGGAATTTCAGGTGTGCATCACCTTTTGGTACCCAGTCTCGCTTTGCTCTTTGGGCATAAATTCTGAACAGTAGTACTTGTGCTTGCCAATAAATGCAGTTCATTCTTTTCCCTCTCTTTGGATGGAGATCAGCACATTCCAAAGTTTCCACTCATTTCCAATGGAGGCCCCCTTTCCGGGGGGACTTCTGAGTGTTACTTGGGTGCAGGAGGCATGCAGCCCATATTCTGGTAAGATTGCTTGCTCATATGTTTTCACTGAAGATGATTTTTGTTCTGTGACTGTTTTTATTCTGAGAACAAGTCCTGATGTGATTTTATGCTAGTGTTATTTTTATGACACTCTAACAACGTTTTAAAAGATTTATTTTCATCTTATGCATATGTGTTTGCGTGCGTGTGTGTGTGTGTGTGTGTGTGTGTGTGTGTGTGTGTGTGTACTATGTGCACGGCTGGTGCCCGCAGAGGCCAGAAGTGGCACCAGATCCCCTAGAACTGGAGTTGTGGATGGTTGTGAGCCACCATGTAGGTGCTGGGAACCAAAGAGGGCCCTCTGCAAGAACAAGTGCTCTTAATGGCTGAGCCAATTCTTAAGTCCCCCCCCCCACAAAGGGCTGTTGGGTAGATTGGGCTTGGGGAGGCAGGTGAGATGAACAACTGGACCTTGGGACATTTGTGTCTTAGTAGAACATTTCCTGAGGCACAGGCTGGGTTTTGTTGGTTCAGATGTGCCTGCCAAGGGATACTGAGCCTTAGGGAGTGACTCAAGCAGATGATTCCTGGGGCCCACATCTAGGTGTCACCCCAACACCCCCCAGCAATGGCCTAATTGAGCCATTCCTGTAAAATGATTTTTATTGAATGTCTGAAAGATTTTATATTTATGGGTGAGAGCTGGGATTTGAACCCAGTCTATCTGGGGCCAAAGCTATCTTCTATTCTCCATTGGAACCCTCCTTGCAGCAAGGTAGGGGACATGAAGGCTTTGAACCTGGAAATTCTGGAAAAGGAATCAGTTCCTAAGCAGAGCCCTATGTGCAGCTGAGATTCTAGCCCCACCCCCCTGTGATCCAACAGAGGTCCTGGAAACCATATGGAGTTCTATATGCACAGGGCATCCCTTACATCACAGTCCCTGACCAGAGGGAACAGACAGTACAACATTAGGAAGAATGGATAAGCATGGTGAGTGGGCTTGAAAGGATGTGAATCAAGATAGGACCATTTGATCCATCTTGGACCAATCATCTCACCGCCATGGTGACATTAGAAAAATTGAACCTTTTCTTAGTTACTCATCCATATTGCTACAAGCCTATTTTCTCTTTCCTAAATAGTCTTGTCATCCATTATTAATTCCATTATTAATTCTTTTGTCTTCACTTGTTTCTGTTCAGACCTCTCTCTGTCTTCTGTGCCCTGGGTTAAGTGTAAACATTGCAGCTCCGATGGAAAGGTACCCTGGTGGAGGAATACCACGAAGCCACTATACACCTAGCAGCTTACAGTTCTGCTCCAGGGAAAAGTTTTCCAATGCAAGTGTAGCAACTCTGCTCTAGCAGGGGAGGGCTCCCATGTGGAAATTGTTACAGTTCTGTTCAGGTCTGGTGAAGTGTTCCAGTTCTGCTCAGCTAGGAGAAAGTGCTCAGGGGTGGGTGGAATTCTGCAGCTTACTTGGGGGCAAGCTCCAGGATTGGTGAGATTTCAAGCCCTTTGGTCCTGGGGTCAAGTCAATGTCAGTGAGTTTTTTCCTTGGCCCAGGTCTGGGGTCTAGTCAGAGGCAGGGTGTTTTTCCCTTGGCCCTTTTCACCTTCCAGTAAGGGCCTGTTTCAGAGTGGAAGGATTCCAGGTGGCAGATGCTTTTGATCCCAGCATTCAGGAAGTAGAGCTCTGTGAGTTTGATGTCAGCCTGGTCTACATAATGAGTTTCAAAAAAGTCTGAGCTACATAGTGAAACCTTGTCTCAAAACAAATAAAAATATTTAAAAAAAAAAACAAAAAAAAAAAAAAATTGGAGTGCAGGGAGTGGAGGCAATGACTCAGATTGTAGCCCAGGCTGTCCTGGGACCCATTATATAGAACAGGCTGCTGGCCTGGATTCTAGCAATCCCCTTGCTGCTGCCTATCTAGTGCTAAAGTCCCCTGATCCTGTTGGAGGGAACATTCTACAGTACAGCTCTGAGCATGTCTCTCCATCAGAACACTAATGACTTCCTAATAGTGACAAACAGCTCCAAGCCCTAACTTCCCTTTCCAACCCCATTCCCTAGCCCCACCCCCACCCCTTCCCAGAATCTCCTGTCTGTGTTAGACCTGGCCTTTCATAACCAACACACACACACACACACACACACACACACACACACACACACACACCTTCTTGCCCATTACTATCAGTCTATTCTATTCCTAACACGAGAAACAGATGGGCAGTGATCTATAGGAATTGTCCTTGATCTTTCCAGGGCAAACCCCAACTGCAGCCCCTTCTTTGCACTTTAAATCGAGCTGTCTTGGGGCTGCCTATGTGCCATGTGACTAGCTGCTAATGGGATGGATACCCTCCCAGGGAAGACCTGCTTAGTTTCAGCCATGGAACCTGCTTTAGGCCCTGATCTACTATTTGCAGTTATGATGTCTGCGAGCTGAACAGTCAGCTAGAGAGGCACTTGCAATTGGTCAAGCCTGAGACCAGTTTCTGGTTTAGTTAGCCACACCCTTCCATGCGGCCTCCAGTGACATTGGGCTTTCTATCACCAGGGAAAGTCAAAATTAGAAACAAACATGCTTAGGAGGCAGAGGCAGGCAGATACCTGTGAGTTCCAGGCTGGCCTGGTGTATATAGTGAGTTTCCCCATCAGAGCTATATAGTGAGTCTCAATAATAATAATAACAACAACAATAATAATAAATAATGATAATTAAAATAACAATTGATGTTTATTAACGTTGGGTAACCCTCCTCCTTCCGTGTTGGCAATATATGTTCGTTGATTGCTTGCACAACGGCAAGCAGGAAGCTGTTTTGCTCAGACACTATCTAGAGTCAGCCTCACAACCACTCTTGAGGTAGGTGCTACTTTCCCCACTTCATAGACGAAAAAATGGAGCTTGATGGAAGCGAGGTGACTTGTTTGGAATTCTTAGCAAAGAAGTTCAGGAGGGCGGCAACTCCGCAGCAGTGCGGGAATCTGGGATTCCGAAGCCCTTTCGCGGGCAGCAGCTGGCGGGCAGCAACTCCCCCAAGCATGCTGGATTTAGGCTCCTGCAGCAAGCAGCCAGGACAGCGGGCTACGCTAACCTCTTCCCTGCCTGTAGGCGTGAAGATCCCTCTGTGGAGGAAGGAGGTGGAGGAGCCCGAGGCCAGGGAGGAGGAGCTGGAGGACGAGTCGTCGTCGTCGTCATCGTCGGAGGTGGAGAGGCCGGACCCGGAGAGTGCGGTGGAGGTCGAGGAGGACGCCTGCGGTGCAGAGGATCGCGAGGCCCGCTCGGTGTCCTACTGCCCTCTGCGCCAGGAGTCCAGCAGCCAGCAGGTGGCACTGCTGCGACGCTCGGACAGCAGCTTCTGGGGCTGGCTAAGCCCGTTCGCGCTGCTGGGTGGCCTAGCGGGACCCGCGGACAGGTGAGATGCAAGCACCCTGGGTCGAGTTTTAGGGAGGAGGGCCGCAGGGCCACCAAGCACTGACATCCTCGGCCCGTAGGAAACGTGGTGCCCCGGAAGAACCGTGTGTGTTGGAGACGCGGCGGCGACCACCGCGTCGAGGAGGTTGTGCGCGCTGCGAGATCCTTTTCTGCAAGAAATGCAAGAGTTTGCATAGCCACCCGGCCTACGTAGAGCACTGTATTCTGGAGCATCCTGACCCGGGTAATGCGGAGGCCGCTGGGAGTTGTGAGCTCATTCTCTCCCAGCCTCTGCGCCCGCAGAGCTCCAAACTCTTCTACCTCTAGTGCGTTCCACAGAACTGTCCTTTCAAGCCGCCGTCCTTAGCACCTCCTTCCAGAGAGAAGGCCCACGTCGGTTCACGGTTCCACCCGTTGTCTCTCCGAACTACAGCAGAACCTATCCACTACTCCTCAGGCAGTTACCCAGCACCTACAGCCCTCCTGATCCACGTTTCCAATACAGCCTCACCTGCATCTTTTTCAAGTCTGTCTGGCTAGGTGAACAGAGGCATCGCCTGGAGGAAAAAAAAATAGCTTCGGAGTTTCCCCAGCCCTCTAAGAGATTGCCCCCCCTTCCTCAAATCCCTCAATAAAGTCTCTAATCAGAGTCGCCTGAGGTGGAGTGGAGTGATAAAGATGAAATCCTCCTTTCTCTCTCCTGGGTACAACCCAGAAAGCAGGGGGTGGGGCTAGCAGGGAGGTTCCTCCCTGGTCTCCTCAGGACAGGGAAGTACAAAGCACTTGCAGTCAAAGGCCATTCTGTCCACTGCACAGAGAAGAAAGGAGGGCACAGGGCCAGCAATGCCTCTGGGTAACTGCAGGCTACCCATGCTAAATCATTCTCCCGTCTCTGAGAGCTGGCTCGTGGTGGTCACTGTGTGTGTGCAGAGGCACTGGTAGGTGGAGGAGGAGGCCGGGAGGGATGCAGATCCAGATGCTAAAATTAATACAGAGACTGGCTCAAACAAAAGGGGAAAAGCTGGGGAGCTGGTTCCTTCTCCAGGAATCCCAGCTATTCTTGGCTAGACAGCATGAACTTCGGAATGCTGCTTTGTGTGTGGCCTGGAGAATGGGGCCATTGAGGGCAAACAGGCCTCACCCAATCTGCAGAGCACTGTGGGGGCTGCATTCCCAGTGTCTGAGATGGGCAGACCCCGAAGGACCCTCTGCCACCCTCCTGCTGCACAAGATATCCATCTGGAAGGCAAACTGGGTGAAGATGGTCTGTTCCTTCTCTCCGTGACAACCGTACACTGCCGCTGCCCCTTAGTTGGATATAAAAGCATGGTCCCAAGCAGCCTGTACCTATCTGCTTCTACTGCTTCTACTGAGAAGGGAGGAAGAGTCTGCCCAAGCAAGGCTGATTCACCTCTGGGGTAGCCAGCTGGGGGTGCTTCATCACCCCAGACAAAACGTCAGGCCCAGGAGGACCACATTCCCATCTGCTTAGCCTCTTGATCCAACAAAGGGCCGCAGAGTGGGGAGGAGCCTTCACCTCACCCAAACTTGCTGGGGGTGGGAGGCAGGGTGAAGTCTGTGATGGTATCATTTCCCAAGAGCTGGGCCTGAAAGGCACAGAAAGGGAGGGTCCTGCAGAGTAGTCCTCACCCCCAGTTGAGATTTGCATCTTCTCTGGGACTCAGCACTATGGGTACGGGACTGCACCTTCATCAGAACAGAATGCCCTCAGGAATGGGAAGGAAAGAAGTCCGTGAGTGGAAAGGCAATGGCAGCCCTACTTTTGTTTCTCCTTTGACCATGGAAATAAATGCAGATTTCCTGCTGGAGCCAGTGCTGCAGGGAAGTTCCTGCGAGGTTCAAGGGCTTTCTAGACAGGCTCCGCCCCTCAGGCGGGGGCAACCACTGTTCACTCCGCATGGGGAACCTTCAGAACAGGGCACCTCCTGAGTTGGCATTCCAACAGCCCATCCAGGACAGCTCTGTGGCCCAGCGGCCGGAGCTGGTCACCCGCAGTTTGGCTTGATCCAGGTGCCAGTAGTGGTCATCTCTGAAGAAGACGACGGAGCCATCCGGCCTCGGCAGGGTACCGCTGACCTCCTCAGGGACCCCGGCCCAGTCCCTCAGGCTGCGGGGATAGTAGGGCTCCACTTGCTTCGCCCCTCGAGCCAGCACGTAATACCGGGCGCCCTTGAAGAGGACAAGGCGGCGCAGAGGCGGGAAGAAGAGAGCTGCGTCCGGGTGTCTGGGCAGACCTCCACCCCGGCACAGCTGTGAGGGCCCCCACACAGACTTCGCGCCCTGGAACCTCCAACACCGACTCCCTGGGGGGGGCATTGAAAGGGCCAGGGTGAGCTGGAGGCGCTCCTTCCACCTCATCTCTGTCCCCTTGGTTACTATTCCTTCTTAGAGTCCGAGACAGTTAACCTCGGAGTCGAAGTGGGGCTAAGAACTAGAAGTACCCCGCAGAGGGGAACCTGATATGGCCTTGATTCCCAGCAGGTGTCAGCAGAGAGTACGCTGAATGAACCCATCTGTCCGAGGCTGAGGAGGGGGTGGGAGGGTGTTGGGGAAGAAGGTGGAGAGGGTAGGGGGTGGAGGCAGGATTCCCTGTCTCGGAGTGAAATGGAAGATTGAGAAGGTCTGAATTTTCCATCACTCCCCAACTACTAATAATTCTCCGAGGGCAAAGGTGTTTGTTTTGTAGACATCTGTCTCCAGTCCATCCCTCTCCCTGCGCCTACGACATGAGGTTCTCAGCACTGGTTGAAGGAGCGCTGTTCAATACAGTATTACCACATGTCCAATCATTTGCCACCTTCAATCATTGCCATTTGTACAGCTTCCCCACCACACCTGAGAATTACTGTCCCTATCCAAGAAGTGCAAATTCCAGAAGCTCAGTGGCACGCCAACCTCACACTGCCAGGATGCCAGGGCAGACACCTCCAGATTTCCTGCTGACCTGCAGGCTGGAGGGCAGTCCTCCGGCTACACGTCTCTACATGGGACACCTGGACATTTCCTACTTCCAATTCCATCCCAGAAAGGAATCTTTCCTGGGCCACTGGCTCAACACGGAGTCCCACCAGGGACTCATTGTTGGGGACAAACTCCCTCCACCCCAATCTCAGCTGACTCAGGGCTGATACCTTTAAAGAAGTAGAAGTCTCCATCTTCCAGTGATACTGCAGCAGCCTCGATGTTGGAGGGCAGCCCAGGCCACCTTTTCTGTAGTGGAAAGGGACCTGAAACATTGCCATCAGCTGTGACTTCCCAGAAGTGGCTCCCTTTGAAGACATACAGTTGCCATTGTCCATCTGTCCAGAGACAAGAGAAAGGCCATTGGCCTCCTGCTGACTTTAGCGCTGGGCCTGAGCTTGACGCCGCCCCCGGAAAGCACGTGGTTCCTGATCTCCATAGTCAAGATACCTCCATTACCCACACTTTGTAATTCAGTTCTGGGAGCTTTAGAGATGTGGAGAAGGGGGGTGGGGGGGGGAAGACACCAGGCATGGCTGGTGCCATCTTACCTACAGTGATGGCATCAAAGGAAGAGTGGCAGTATTTAGGACCTCTGGTTTCTGGGCGTATCCTCCGGGAGTTGTGAGGGTCCCAGGCCTCAAAGTCAGTGAATAGCTTTCCGGGAAGTTGGGTGGCCACTGAGCGTCCCAGAGGCTTCCCTTAAGATTCAAGAAGAGAGATAGCAGACATGGGTGGGCGTATAGGGAGGGCTCAAGACCCTTCCCTCTGCTCTGCCCATGATCTGAGACCCAAGGAAGGAGAGAGGAGGGGCAAGTGCAGCCTGGCTGTTGGTTTTCACCAAGAGCGCACTAACCCAGCAATCTCTTCTTCCACCCAACAGCCCAGGAAAGAGATAACATGAGATTGGGAGAGCAAACAAGGATTCTGAGCTAAGGGCAGAGGTTTGCATTCATGAGTTGTTTGGAACTGACGAAGAAACGAGGAAAAGCAGAGCCTGCGTATATTCAGATTTCAAGGGCGCCTGGGCTTTAGAACAGAGAAAGATCGAAGCGACTGAGAGGGAATCCTATTTGAGAAGCCAGAGTCCAAGGACTGAAAACCCTAAGGGACAAGGGTAGATAGAGCCAGTAGCGGTCTGGGGGCTCACCATACAGGCTCTGTATGGCTAGCACGTCGTCCCAGCTGAGCAGGGCGTCGCGGCCCAACTTCTTATAGTAGGGCGCCATGAGAGCGCGCGGTGCTGGCGAGTGCGCGAGGCCGAGCGTGTGGCCGATCTCATGCGCCAGCACTACGAACAGGTTGCGCCCACGGCGACGGCTAAGGGACCAGCGCTCATCTCCGTCGAAATGCGCTTCGCCCCTCCGGGGCAGGAAGGCGTGCGCCAGAGCGCCCCCTGCAAACGTGACACGGGGTATGAAGTTGGGGCGAGCCTGGATCAGGGGCTCCTTCGCTCAGGCACCGTGCTCCCACGTGGGGTGTGTGGCTGTCATCTACTACCCCCTTCTAGTATGATAGGTGCAAGAGTGCTGTCAGGTGAGCAGTGGACTTTACCAGAAGCACACTGTAGACTCACCTAGGGGCCAAACTGCCTGGGCTCCAATACTAGATTTACCATTTACTAGCTATGTGGTCTTGAACAGATAGCTTAATCTCTCTGTGTTAACCTTCCTGATCTGAAAATGGGCATGGTGATGAAGAGCTTCTTCCTCACAGGAACAAGCGTGTGTCACACTTGATTCTTAAAGCAGTGCCTAGGCTAGGCACTATTAATATTGGTTACCCCTAGAAGAGGGATGGTAAGGCTCTGTGCCGTTTCCTGACCTGTGCTTGGTGTGTTATGTTCAGGAGTCAGTGAACTGAACACACTGTGCTTCTATGTGTATGCATATTTTTAAAAGTGGTTTATGAGCTGGCAGTGGTGGCCCATGCCTTTAATCCCAGCACTTGGGAAGCATTGACAGGTGGATCTGTGAGTTCCAGGCCAGCCTAATCTACAGAGCAAGTTAAAAAAACAAAAAACAAAACAAAAAAAAAACAAAGGTACAAAGGTGTATTTTTTTTGTCTTTTTTTTTTTTTTATGACTGGGCATAGTGATGCATGCCTCTAATCTCTCTAGTGCTCAGGAGGCAAAGGCAGATGATCTCTTCAAGTTCCAGGCTAGACTGGTCTACAAAGCGAATTCAAGGCCAGCCCGAGGTTACATAATGAGACCATGTTTTTTTTTTTTTTTTTTTTTTTAAATGTGTGTGTCATGTAGAAGACAACTTGAGGAACTCAATTCTTACATTCTGCCCCATGGGCCCCAGGGATCAAACAGTCTGCATGCCGGCTGGAGAGGGAGGGCGGCACCTTTACCCACTGAGCCATTTCACCCCCCCCCCCCCACTTCTTTTGGACAGGGTCTTATTATGCTGGCCTGGTGTGTGTGTGTCTGTGTCTGTGTCTGTGTGTGTTGCAGGTATGTTCACTGGTGCAGGCCAGAGGTTGATGGTTGATGTTGGGATGTCTTTCCTCAGACACTTCTTTACCTTTAAAACTTAATTTATCTTTTGGGCAAGCATCTCTATGTAGCCCTGCCTGTCCTGGAATTCATCACGTAAACTAGGCTGGCCTCTGGCTGCCTTTGCCTCCCAAGTGCTGGAATTAAAGGTGTGTGTGCATCACCACACTCAGCTAAATTATTATTTTATTATGTGTATGAGTATTTTACCTGCATGTATGCCTGTGTAACACATGTGTGCCTGTTACCCTCAGAAACCAGAAGAGGGCGTCAGATCCTCTGGAACTGGAGTCACAAAGTGAGTCACCATGAGATGATGAGAACCAAACTCAGGTTCTTTGGAAGAGCAGCCAGCACTCTTAACCATTGAGCCATCTCTCTAGCCTCTTCCATACACACACACACACACACACACACACACACACACACACACGTATGTATGTATGTATGAGACAGGGCCTCTCACTATACCTAAAGCTTTCTATCCTGGCTAGATTGGCTGGCCAGTGGGCCCCCAGGATTTTCCTGTCTCCACACCCCAGTGCTGAGTATCTGAATTCAGGACCTCACACTTGTACAGCACTGAGCTATCCCTCCAGTTTCACGGCCACCAGAGTGCTGGGGTTACAGGTGTGTGCCACCACACCTGGCTAGTATAGATGGCTTTTTATAAACATATATATCCTTGTGTTCCTGTCTCCTGTCCTCTGTGGGCCTCTCTCCCTGCTATCATAGGAGTGAGCCGGAGTTAACGTTCCTTAGTGATTCTCACAGATGTATATCCGTCCCCACAGAAATGATTAGATATGTAGCTCCTAGGTCCTTCCCCTCATACACACCTGCACTAAGGCAGGTGACTCTGATAGAGGCTAGCAAACAGCTCTGTGATACTGTTAGCCTGGAAGGCTCATCGGGAGCCCTTCAGCATTGCCTTCTAGGAGCTCAGGTCAGCAGGGGCTGACAAAGGGGGGAGGGGGGGCAGAACCCAGCAAATGCGGGAGGAATTTGTGTTTCCCAGTGTGCTTAGGCCATCTCCAGTGCAATGCACTCTGCCCATATTCAGATTCTGAAGGCCAGGGCTGAGCACAATGGAAGCCTGCAGGCTGGGGACAAATGGGAGCAGTGTGGTTGGGATCTATGAAGCACTTCTGTGAATGCAGGGTAAAGGCCTCTTGCACTGGCTGTCTGGGGAGCAGGGGAGGGAAGGGTTGATGGTGGCCTCTGGATATCTTTTGAGGGTCTACTCTGGAGAACAACAGAAGCACAGGCCTGTCTAGAAGCAGAGTAGACAATCTCAGAATGTTCTCTAAGAATCCAGCACACTCTAGCGTTACCAAGGTGCTTTCCACACCAAACCTTCTCTGGTTGTCCTTTCAACCATTTGGCACATTTTGGGCAGAGCCTTTTGCTCCCTTATACAAATGAAGAGATGGGGGATCCTTTGGAGGAGGACCTGGCTTGGCCATGGTTATAAGGGGAATAGTAACTCCAGCACACACACCCCCACCCTTCCAGGCTGCCTCTTCTAGCCAGGCGCCCCTCCTGTTGTGTGGAAAGAGGCTTTGTGGCAGCACCTGGGCCATCGAAGGCATTGGCCAGCCCATCATTGTGGTCCCCTTGGAAGAAGGTGAGGCGGATGTCAGCAGGGCCTGTGGCTGGAGCCTCCCAGAACTCCAGCGCTGACACGTTGCTCCACAACTGGAAGGCAGCTCTTACGGCCCCTCGGACAGCTGGCTCAGGCAGGTGCTCAGGCCAGTTCACCAGGCGGTAGGAGAGATGCTGCTTGTACCATTTGTTACCTGTCACCCAGAAAGTCGGTATGAGTCATATGGGCTGCTGAGTCTAGTCCCCACAGGTCCAATAGAATGGGCTGGCCCAGCCCCAAGGAGCCCTTGATCTGATAGGGAACACTGAGCCCCTGCTTTGAGCAGCCTCCCATTTGATGGGAGGCAAGATATGTCCCTGCTGAAGGGAGCTCTCACCCTGGGCAGACTACCCTTCTCCTGGAGAGCCTCCAATCTAATGGCCTGAGAGGCACCATCTGACAATAGAGATGAAGCTTCTGCTCAGAAAAGAGGCTCAGTCTGAACCCCTGGTCTCGAGTCGTATTCTTTCCCACAGCCTAGGCTGGGCCTGAGAAAGCTACTTGCTGTCCCATCCTCAATGTGGCCAGATGGACAGTCAGTGGGGCCACTAAGGTCACAGCTGTACCTGCCCCAGGCGCTCCCTCCCAGAGACTGCACTCTACATTTGCCAGAACCCAGGGCCTGTGATTGGCCAACAACCATAAAAACCATACATGTGAGGTCTTTCCCTGCTCCGTTGACCTCGTCCCCACTTCCTTAGGGACTCTGGAGACCTCTGAGTTGAAGACAAATGAGAACAAAGGGTGTGTTTTGTCACAGGCCCAGGAAAAGTTTTCCATTTCTTACTTAAGCTTCTTTCCCTTTACCCCAACCTCTGTTCCTCCCTGAGGGCTGAGACTCTGGCCTCTACCATAGCCCTGGGTGACTCTTTACATTGGACCCATCTGTAGTTTGCTGAGCAGCGGACAGAGTAGCCAGAAAGTCTGACTCTGAGTTTGTCAGGGATGGCCTCTGAGCCCTGTTACTCAGAGACTAAAATCCCAAACGGAAGCCTCATAGCTTGCAGGCAAGATTCCCCAGACCCAGATTGACTGTGGCCCAGGGGAAGGCGCCTGCCCACAGCTGCAGAGTGTGAGAGGAGCAGAGCTGTGGCCTGACCCCTGGCCCAGTGTGCTCCTTCTACAGTCCACACGGAGAAGCAGTCCTCCCTGCAGAGATGCCAGGCCTGTAAATCTGCCTAAACATTAGGGTCAAAGCTTAGCTGGAGGGCTGAGATTCCCCAGATGGGAGGGAGGCTCATTCTGGCCCTCTCCACCCATGGAAGTGGGGGTGGGGTGTGCCCCACTCCATTCAAGGCAATGCATCTCCTTGGGCTAATTTGGCCGGGCAACCACCCAACCACTGCCTCTCAGCCAGTGGCCAGTCCTTGAGGAGTGAAGAGGGAATTATTTTGGAGAAGGGAGACAGACAGGGAAGGTGGAGGCAAGGGCCAGTGACCAGTCCTTAGGGAGTTGAAGAGGAAACTATTTTGAGGGAGGGAGGGAGACAAACAAGGTAGAGGCAAGGCTAGGGGTTCAGAGGTGTCTGCCCAGGACGGTTCATTCTTTACCAAGAACACTCTGCTGCTTGCTGTAAGTCTTCCCAGGGCACAGGGCACCACACACTGTGTTCTCCTACATGCTGTTGTGAGTGACTGAATCTCAGACTCTTCCCGACCACCATCACCAAATCTTTAACCCTCTATGGGTTATGGGGTGGTTCCTTCTGCAGCCTGTCATCCCCCACACCCTCCATCAGGAAAGGAGGAGGGTGGTAGTCATTTTAGTAGCCAGTGAAGGTGATAGGTCTCAAGGGAAAATAAAATCCTCTGTGAAGTGGGGTGAGGTGGGGAGGCTTAGACATGCACATTTGCTTTGGTTTCCTTTTTCAACTCAGATGCATACCCTGCTCCTCAACCCAACAACTCTGTGAAGGAACAAAGGGTTTAGCAATCAGCCCTGTAAACACAGAGGGGAGCAGGTAATTGGCCTAAGGTTGCCAGATGCAGCAGGTATGAATCCAGGATGCCTGGTCAAATTTGAAGAATACAAGTGCAATTATTTATTATTTATCTGAAGTTTAAATTTAACTAGGCATTCTGGCAATCAAATACTCAAATGGCCAGCTACAAATGCCCTTGGTTAGATTCCACCTTGGGGCTGGAGAAGAAGCATCCCCAGAGTTTGGGTTGAGGTGTTTCTGCGCCTGCTCATTTCCCACCACATCCTCCCAAGGCCCCTTGCACTCAGTAGACCTGGATGGCTCTCCTTTACAACCTAAGAAGGTCTGACTCCTACATGAGGGAGGATGAGGGATCAGAACCAAGTGGCATGACTCGGTCATGATGGTTGACACTTGAACCCAGTGCCTTGAGCTCCAGGGTAGTGTCCTCTCTGTTCTGGCCTATGTGAACATGTGTCTCTCCTTCCCTACTTCACTCTTCCTCTCTGCTGCCCAGAAACACAATGGGATGTACAGCATGCTGATACCAGCATCTTGACCCCAGTGCCAGGACCCCAGAGCTGACTGTGGATGAATACAGTCTTTCAGAACAGGGCAGCCAGGGTGGATGGACAATTAAATGCAGCAGAAATGGACTGGCACATGCTTGGGAACAGACACCCTGCAGCTGCCCACAAACTCCTTGTACATTAACTAAAAAATGAAAACAAATTCTGTGCATTCAAGTGAGTGAGGTTGGTAAAAGCAGCACAATTTAAAGTGGCCACAATCCAGTGCGTACACAGCGAAGTAATTATTCTTGACAAACACCATCTTGTGAGCAACCTCAAAGGCTGCAAAGATTGATCAAAGAAAAACTGACTCAGTCAAAGCAGTCATGATACCGAAATTCCACACAGCAAAACTTATTATTTGTGTGGAAAATTAACAGAAAGATCCAATCGTATAAACCAAAGAAGGTTAGCGATGACCCTGGAATATTGGGGAGGGGAGAGGAGAAGAGCAGAAGGAAGAAGAGGAAGAAAGAGAAGGAAGAGGGAGATGAAGAGGAGGGAGAGGAGAAAAATTTCAATGTAGGTCAGTGGCATCAGTTGTGGCCCTGGGTTCCAGTCCCAGTACTGGAAAGAAAGGAGCAGGAAGGGAGAAGAGGAGAGGGAAAGAGAAGATGAGGGAAAATCCCGACAGGAGAAACTGTGTAGCATATACTATGGACGGTGATAAAATGTTCAATGCGGGCAGATCCCCTGAGACACGAAGCAGATCCGTGGCTGCCAGGGCTGGCAGCAGGGCACAATGGGGGAACTAACTGATAATGGGCATGGGGTTCTTCAGAGGGTAATGAAAATGTTCTGGGAGGAGGAATTAGCTCGTGATAATGGTTGCACAATTCTACAAATATACTAAACCCCTCTAAATTGGATACTTTCAATGGTAAATTGCATGGTATGTGAATTCCATTTAAATAAAGCTTTTTTAAAAAGGTGCTATGAGCAAGATAAAACTGTTCAATAGATCACATCTTGGTTGAATAAGTGTTATGAAAAGAATCGATTCTTATGGAAATAACTTCAATAAAATATAAACAAAAACTATTGACAACTGCTCTTCGTAGAAAACCGATTAGAGAATTAAGTGATGGGGTTTAATGTGGAGAATACATGTACAATGAAAATTCATCAATGCAGATAGAATTTAAAGTTAAATATCTGTATTCATGATTATGGTCCTTGAGTCAAAAGATCCATCCATTCTCTGCCCGAGGCAAGAGAGGTTTCTCCCAGACACTCCACTCAGCTCAACCTCCTTTTTTGGCCATGGGTCCTTCTGGGCCCTGGGGAATCCCAGCCTAACGGGATTCCTTGCACTTACCTGGCTTTGCAAAGCGTTTCTTACGTCTCATTTTGGCCCGGTGTCCAGCAAACAGGGCGCTGATCCTCTCTGCCCAAGCTGCATGACTGTCAGTATCTGCAACCCCACACCGCGGAAGTGTCATCTGACGCAGTGTGGCCTGGTCCAGCACACCACTGATGGGCAGCTGGGATACCCACTGAAACTCTCTGCCCGGAAAAATTGAGAGAAAGGAATACAGAGGGATGCGGGGGGTGGGGGTGGGGGGTGGGGGGTGGAGGGGTGGGGCAAAGTTGGAGCTTTGTTTCTTGCACCCCTTCACACCCCTCCATCATACCTGACAGCATTGCTGAACTGAGTGGAGGCTGGGGCTTTGGAGCCCTGCTCACTGAAGTAGCCGTACTTCTCCAGGAACGCCTGGGGGGGAGAGAGGATCATGCATTATCCTAAGAATGTTTGTAAGCTACAGCAGAGAAAGTTCTGGAATTAAAGTCAAAAGGCCACCATGACTAGCTGGGGGGTTGCAGGCAAGCTCCTCAATATATCTGAGCATCCAGTTTTCTTGCAATCTTCTGACACTATCCAAAATGCTGTTTCTGAGGCTTTATCATCCTACAAACTGGGCCTCCTCCCTTGCCCTTCAGTTGCTTGACTTAAGCTACATATTCCTCAGCTTCAGAGAAGTTATTATTAAGAGCTTACTGTTTTATGAGGGCTAGTCACAAAAACACTTAAAAGATGCCTGTCGCACAGGAGGGACCCCCACACGAGCAGTGAGGATATGTGCTATGCATGCATACACAATATGCATACATTACATTTGCTTTGGGACATCTAAGAGCTCTAGGACCTGGTAAACTAACTGCTGGCTCGTCTTGAATAAAAGTATTCCTCTGATTTTAGCTTCTTTTTAATTCTCCTCTCCCAAAGGCAGAGCCCCTTTGATACCATATGTACTTACCGCCAACTTTTTACCTGATATAAAAATATGACTCTCTAGAGATGTACATTTTGAATTAGAAATCTTCTCTTGCCTCTGGGGGAATGAACACAATTAGATAATGTTCCCCTAGCCTTTTATTGCCTTCATGCCCTTATGTACACAGAAGACAGTCTCCCAATGACCAAGTTCTTGGAGCCAGTTGAGAGAACTACCCTTTGGGGAGCTGGTACACTTGGCTTCCTGCTTGCCCAGAGCATTGATTAAAGCCCCATAAACTACACCTTGAATATTAAATTTTAAAAAGTCCCTCTTTCCTCTCTCATTTTTTTTCCTTCTTGGGACTCATTTACCTCAGGCTGGCCTTGAACTTCCCATGCCAACAAGAATGACCTTGAGTGAAGATAAATTACCTCATCTTCCTGCCTTTACCTCCTGAGTGCAGGGATTATGGACATGGACCACCATGGTTGGTCTGTGTGGTGCTGAGGATTGAATACAGGTTGTTGCTCATACGAGGCAAGCATCCTACCAACCCAGCATCATCCCAACCCTTCAGCCACTTGACTCCAAGATAGAGGGTCTTAAATTTTTGTTTGTTTTGAGGAAAAGTCTCACCACCCAGCTCTGGCTCACCCAGAACTTACTATGTAGACCAGGTTGGCCTTGAACTTACACTGACCTGGCTGTCTCTGCCTCTTGGATATTAGGATTAAAGGGGTGTGCCAACCACAACCAGCCCCAATGTCTTCTTTGTTGGCTTATCTATACAGAAATTTTCTGATTGCCTTGTTCTCTTGTCCTCACCTTTCTTTGCTGTTCTTACTAAACTCAAAGTAATCCCAGTCATTGCTGCTGCCTCAAGTCAAATGCAGAGCTGGAAGAGACCAGACTCTCGAAGGACTGGCAAGCTTCCTTAATAGATTTCACTTATGTTTATTTTACATTTTCCATGTCAGTGCACCCTTATGATCCAAGCACTTAGGAAACAAAGGAACGATCAGAAGTTCACAGCCAGCCTCAGCTACATAACAAGTTTGAGGTCAACATGGATTGTACAAGACCCTGTCCCCCAAAAAAATCAAAACAGGAGCTGGAGAGAAGGTTCAGCAGTTAAGAGAACTCATTGTTCTTTCAGTGGACTCAGGTTCTGTTCCCAGTGCCTATATGGTGGTCCATACCACCTGTAACTCCAGAGGACCTTGTACCCTTTTCTGACCTCTGTGGGCTTCTGCATGTGTGTGGTGAATAGCCACATCCATATACATAAAAGAAATAAGCATTTAAAAAAAATCTGAACAAGCCAGGGAGTAGTGCACACCTTTAATCCCAGCACTCAGGAGACAGAGGCAGGTGGATCTCTGTGAGTTCAATGCCAGCCTGGTCTACAGAGTGAATTTCAAGGCAACCAGGACTACACAGAGAATCCCTGCCTCGAAAAAACATAACAAACAAACAAAACAATCAAACAAAACATTTGCATCCATCTTTGGTAACCTCAGTTGTAAGACTTTAATAAACAGACGACTCGTTCTGGATGGTAGACCACTTCCCAGACCAGCCTTGATGTTTCTCTGCTGGTTTAGTAGCATCTGGGCACTCTTGTTTTCTTCTTTCCCTTTGTTCAGACACTTATGGGATTAAAGGAGCCCTAGTGTCTCAATCAAGAAAGTCAAGTACTCCTTGCAGGTCTTGAGGTAGAGAATGTGTCTAACCCTGACCCTGCTAGGTGACAGGATGTAGGACATCTTTGAGCCTCAGCCTCCCCTCACCATGTGAAAATAAGAGGAGCCTCACAGGATCCTCAGGACTACAGACAAATTCATTCAGAGTGTGGCAGTGCATGCCTGTGGACCCAGCACTCAGGAGGCTGAGGCCTGGAGAGTGTTCGGCTCAAGGCCAGCATGGGATGGTGAGTTCAAGGCCACCTAGAGCTACACTGTAAGACAATGTGTCAAACATAAACAATAAATGGAGCAATGCACATCTGGCTCAGTGCCAGGCACACTGTAAATGCCCAGCAAGTACTGCCTTCATTGGTTAGCATGGAAAATTAACCACAGGGAAAATTAACCACAGTCTTTTGGCATGCGGCCTGCCTGTTCCTCTTTGGTCAGGGGCTGCTACCTGGCATTTGCCTCCCATAAGCCAGGTTCAGGTTCTCTCCCTGGCCACTTCCCTTTCCCTTGGTGAGGCTGGAAAGAGGACTTTAGAAGGAAGCCCTTTAACTGGACCAATGACTTTCAAGAGACCAGGTCACAGGTCAGCCAGGCTGGCACTCCCTTGCTTCTCTCCTCACAAAGCGGCCCAGACTTTATCAGGGAGTTGCCTGAGGTTCTGGGACAAGAGGGAGGAGGGGAAGTTGTGTGGCGGGGCCCCTGTTTCCTGGCTGGGCTGCATTGCCTGGTACTCTGGCAACAAGCTGAGGCAGAGATGGGTTCAGGGGTCATCAGAGGGGAAGTGCTGGCCTCTGCAGTGGCTTTAGCAGATCTGAATTCCCAGGGAGCAGAAAGAACGCCCCGCCCAGGACACCAGCACCAGAGAATGAGAGAAAGGCACTTTAAGAATTTGACATTTTATATTTCCATAACAGCACTCAAATATTACAATGCAGACCATCTAGAGTTATGGACTTTGACTCTTATGCATAATAATACATGTTTAGACATTTAAAATGACATACAGGAAGTTCCCTCTTGCTGCTGTTAGCACTCTGAAGTTCTGGGCAGTAGAGGGATGAGGAGGTAACAAGGTTAGATTCCTGCCTCTGGAACTGTCCTTAACCCTTTGCTGTTTTTCTTGCCCTAGTCTCTCTGCCAAGGTGAGAGAAATGGTCTGCCTTGCATGTGGAAAAAAGAGCAGGAGTGGGGTGGGGGTGGGGGTGGGGGGGAGGGTAGGTAACTGCTTGACAGTGGGGATCAGAGGAATCTTCCAGGCTAGTGGCACAGCACCAGACCTCATCCTCTCCCACCACTTGCCCCTTTTCGGGAGGCATTTCTCCTACTGGCTTCCATTTTCCAAGGCTTGGCTTGCATGTCTTAGGGACTCTGAGCTCTATTCAGGGTCATACCTTTCCTGCTTTTCTGAAGGTGGTGCCAGGCAACTCCTCCCTACCTTGAAGTTCAAGCAAAAGGCTGCCTCTCTTCCCTGGCCTCTACCTGCCTGTTCTCTGTCCCGAGGAGCCCAAGGCTACGTCTAAAGGGAGAGGAAGCTGAGGACCTTGCCCTTTGGGTGATTCACCCTGCTTTGCCCTAAAAACCAGTGCCAACATGCCTGGCCCATCCTGTGTAAGGCTGGGGCCACTTTCCTGGGAAGTCATCTCTGAAAGTCCCTGGGAGTGGCTGTGGGGCCTGAGTAAAACGAGCATGCTCACAGGATAAGCAAGCTGGGTGGGACCACTGCTCTATAGGATCTCATCCAGCATAGGTCCCTACTTGTCACGAGAGGGTGTGTATTTGGCTCAGTCTGTTTTGTGCGGGAAGGAAGGGAAATTCTGGCCATTTCTGAGCAGGGTAACTGGGCAGAGTGAAGAACTGCGTGAAGGACGGTGAATCGGGTGAATTCCCCCTCCTTCTGCTGCTGCTGTGTCCTCAGGCCTGTTGTTCTCTGGGCCTTGGATTCTTCTTCTATAAAACGAGGAACTGGATTAAACCCTAGGACCCCAGCCTCTTGATCATTGTAGATAAATGACCAGTGTGTACACTCTGACAGAACTACCAGACATCAGGTGGAAGGCCATTCACTGCCTGACCTCATCCCCAAATTCAGAAAGATGCCCCAGGAAAGCTTCAGGGGAACCATCCTGCTAAGAATGTTATTTTAACTTCTGCAGTCACAGGGTTTTTTGGCCAGAAGGGACCTTTGCCAGGGGACTCTTAAATACTCTCTGCATCAATTTCAGAAGCAAAAATAAGGCAAAGAGGTTGGCAAGGTGGCTCAGCAGGTAAAGACACTTGCCACCAAACTGGACAGCCCGGGTTTGATTCCCAGGACCTACATGGTAGAAGGAGAGAACTGACTCCACAAGTGCATAGTGAAGAACTGAGTCACCACCAATAATAACAGTAATACATCATTTAGAAATAGCAAATTGACAAACTCATGCAGAAAACATGCTGTTTTGTCCACACTATAGGCCATCTATTTTTCTCCCTTTCCTTTTTCTTGTCATTTCCTTCCTTCCTTCCTTTCCTCGTTTCTTCCATCTTTTTTTTCAAGATGCTGGTTGCCATGAAACTTGCAGCAATCTTCCTGCCTCTGTCTCCTGAGTACTTGAACCACAGACATGTGCCACTATACTGCGCTCCATGTCATATTTCTCCTGTCATGGTTTCTGTCTCCACATAGGCACACTGTGGATTCCACTTATTTCTCAACTATACTTCTAGTTATTAACAAAGCTAAGATGTAAAGGACAGCAGCTGGCATCCTGCCTTGACCTGCTCTCTATATAAAGAGGTTTCTCGGTGACCAGGAG